GGGACCGGGCAAGGAAGCTAGGCTTTGGGGAAAACAACATGGTGAGAGCAGATCGAAGGGGGGGCATGTTGAAGAGGTGCGGACAGCATGAGGGCCATGATGGGGTCGGTAGGATGAGGGGCAAAGCCGATTAGCCTCCTCGCATTTGGCGCAGCAAAGAAGCATCATGCGTAACGTACATGTACAACAGGCACCGAGCCCCCTTCTGTCCAGAGACTTCAGCCACGGGGCGAGACGCGCGCTTGTCGCGTTTAATGTACAGCAACCGCCACCACTGCTGCTAGCAAGATGCGTCTGTGCGTCTGTGTCCACCCAAGTCGACTGTGCTGTGCCACTGTGGGATGCGCTGGCCGGGGTGTCGATAATGCCGCACTGCGCCGTTCGGCTACAGACAAGCAGGGGGTCTGACGTGGGAATGGTGCCATTCTCGACCGTTGCGAGAAGCACGCTTGAGCGGCAAAAGCTCTGAATACGTCATGCTTTCTGGCGCGACGGACACCAAAACGTCGACAGAAGCGCCAGGGATCACGGCACTGTGGACAGTCGAGCGGAACGCTTTGCAGGCGTGGTAACGTAACGCAGGACGGTTGCCTGTTCTGGTCCTCATCGCGCCAGAGCTATGGTCGGGTATCGGGCACTGACCGTTGCATGTGCTGATAGCCAAGATAGCAATTGATACCCCCCGTACCTTGCCGAGCTAAGGTGCCTAGTCTGGGTAAGAAGTACGGTGCCACAAACGAGCATTCCGACTCTACCGGCTTTTTTTTGACGGTTGTCCGAATGCAAAGATGCAGCAGGAAAGCTTAAATGAGTTGATCGAGTGAGAACGAAGTCCGGGAGAACAGCTGTCGGAAACACGTCTCGCTGATGCCTGTGCAACGACGGAAGATGAGGACGTGGGTCCCGCGTGGGAGGTCAAAGCCGCAGCGCCGAAGGCACTTGGACATCGTGCGTGACAACCATGCTACCAGCAAAACCATAGCCGATGCTAGACGCAAGGCCGGGTTGGAAGAGTTCAGGTAAATGACGATGAGAAGGAGCGCCGTTCATCTTACGACGGGCGTTGAGACCCAGGGTCAAGGATTACGAAAACAGAGCGCCCGAAGAAAACCAGGTGGACCGGGGGGGGGGGGGGCGGGAGTTTGCATGTGCGACCACGAAATAGTCCTTATCCTAGCTCGATCAAGCTGGAAAGAAGACAGTCCATCAGATGCAAGAACGGCCGAGGCCAAGGCCATGTTCATGGTTCAAGGCAGACGAGAGGAGAGGGAAGGCAATGGACGGAGAAAACAAAACACAGGTGACAGACAGGCAGGGGCGACCAGGTTGGCGCGAAAAGAGTGCCTGATACTCGAGTGTGGTTGTGAGCATGTGCGCAGGAGCATGAGCCACCAGCCAAATGCCAAAGCCTAGCCTCGGGCCCGAAGCAAGTGTAGCCCGCCTGCCTGGCCCCACCGGCCCTTGTCCTGGAAAGTAATAAGGCCAAAAATATCCTAGGTGTCTAGGGTAGGTTCCCCGAGATCTTTTGGTGCCACCAGTTTGTACTGACATGCTGCCCGGGTAACGTATTCAGGCAGCATGGCACCGAGGGTGATGCTCCAACTTTCGATACCATATGTTTCGATAATGGCAGTGAAGTGAGGAGCGGCAGTGAAGTCAGCAGAGTGGACAAACTGGGACGGCGAGTGTGGTGGTCCTTGCCCTGGCTGACACGCAAGACACGGTACCGTTTCTACTGCTGATGCGCGTCGGTGTTGCTTCGCGCATCCAAAGCCCGGCCCCCATTTTTCGTGCGCTCCGCTGCTCTTGCCCAAGGCATGTGTGTCCCTGGTCGGTCGGTGAGCTGGTGTCAATCCTGCCGCAGGCTGCTCCACCGCCCACGACGGCTGACGGTGGCCAGGCTAACGGGCTAAGTCGTCTAACCTTCTGCATCCGGTTAGCCGCCCACTCGGGCTTTTTGCCGCGACCCGGCCCCCTTCGTTGGCAGCAACGCGGGTGGCGGCGACTGGCGGTAAAAGCACGGGACCCGAAAGACGCCAGATGAGGCTTGGCGAATGGGGACGTGCCAAGTCCAGAGTGGCTCCTCCCTGGCTGCTGCTGCCCTGCAGCCCCACCGCGCCTGCCTCCACTTTGAGTTGAGTCAAGGTACCGAGCAGGCAGACAGGCAGAGCAAAAGGACCCAAAGGGACACAAAGGTACTTTGCAGCTTACCACCAGATCAAGTCCCCATCAAAAAATCCCATCGCCCGTCGCCCATCACCAATCCAGCTCAAGCATCATGAACAGGGATCTCGATCCTACTCAATCTCTCCCACTCACTCTTGCTCACTGTCATTCCAAACCATTCAGTCTCCCGCTTCCAACTCCTCCTGGCTCCTGGCACCTACACAGTATCTCCTGCCTGGTGACTTGACCACTCAATTTTGTCCAGTCTAACCCCTCTTTCTTCTTTCTCCCTCTTCCGGGTGCCCCTCGCCCCCCTGCCATATTTCATCGCCCCGCCTACCGGCCTTCACCCCTCCCCTCTGAGATACATGGTACACCCCGCTGAGGTCTGAGGAACACACTCCCTCATCCTTTCGTCTTTTTGCACCGGATGGAGATGTAGGGAGCAACAGAAGGACGGCCATGACGGAAATTCTGTGCTCAATGTCCTCGAGACGGCAGCCAGAGTTGACTTGCTGTCTTTCCTCAGCCATCAGCGACTCTTCGCCATACCACGACCCTCCCGAGACACGCCTCTCCCGCGCACCTTGTTGTTCCTTCTCAGCCCTCTTTGCGATGCTGACAGATGCTATTCCCGGCGCTCTGTCTCGGATCAGCAGCTCTAACGTGCTAGCTCATAGGCCGGCCCCCCAGACCGTTCCATCAGAGAGCAGAGAGTGGAACTCTTCGCGTCTTTTGGCTGCTTGGTAGATCCTGGCACCAGCAGAAGACGTCTCATTGACCACTTTCCGACAGGAGCAGCGATCATAAACTAAACCATGAACCTTGACCATCTCCTCCCGACCCCGCCGGGTCCGCCGCCGGACGCTCGAGCCGGCCTCGTCTGCTGGAACCTCTCCCCCCCCCTCAAGTCCATCATCCGTCCCGCAGCCCTGTCGCTGTGCTCAGACATGGCATGGCACGATGTGAGCCGTGTCCAGTACTACCATTGCCCTACAGCGGACAAGGTCAGATCTGAACAGCCCCAGTACACAATCTACTGTGTTGGTGCTACCTCAAGATTTTGCGAGTTCTGGCTCCTGACCTGAACCTTGCCAAGTGTGCGTGCTGTCGTCCTGGTTCTGTCACAATCCTGGAGTCTTTGCGTGTTACAGACAAGGTGGGCTATGGACGAAGAGACACAGCGCGATGCTCAGCACGATGCTCAGCACGCCGTGTCAGCCTGGCTGCTCAGTCAGGCCGTCAGGCAGGCAGGCAGGCAGTCAGCCTGGTGTACGGTGAACTGCATCCTTTGTTGTGTACATACGGCCTCTCTCCCTCTGTCTAAAAGAGATACACAAGCATACGATACCCCTTCGTTGCACACTGCCCACAGAGGTCAATATGACAACGCGCCATCCAGACGCTGCCATGTCAGAAAGCAGATGACCAGACATGGAAACCTGACCTGGCTGCCATGGTCGTCCCAAGTGGGCTGTCATCCTTAACGGTCCCGCATGCGAACCCTCCCCCTCCCCCTCTTCGAGAAGTTGAACGACCATGGCCGGGACCGGGACCGGGAGGGGCGTGAAGAGCACATCGTTGATCCATGTTCGTCTGCCCTTCTCGTCCTGCTTTGGCCTCCCGGCCTCCCCAAACCCACTCCCCTCACCACACCCCCCCTTGCGGCCGGTACCTTGTCTTTCCCATCCGTTCCTGAGCCCCCTGCCCTCCACCACCAGTACCCTCCCCCCCTACCCTACATACCCTACATTACCCCCCTCCACCACCACCACCTTACCCTACCTTACCGTACCGTACCATACCCTGCCTCGCCTTGCCTTGCCTTGCCTTGCAATCCCGCCCGCCGCTCGCCGTCCTCGACAGGCCTGCCTGCGTCCGTCGGCCCTGTGTGGCTCTTCCTCTCTCCCTCCCTCCCTCCTTGTGCCTACCGAAGCATGTACATGGCTCCTGGTCATCCTCTCTCCCCATGACGCCGCGTCGAGAAGCCCAGTCCTGAGTCTCCACCATCTAATCACTGCCCACTCCCCATTTATAAGCCTGGCCGCTCCTTGACCCTGTTCACTCTTGTGAGGCTGAGATCTTAAACCTCCCATCGATACCAATATAGCATCGTCTTCTACCCACGAAGACTCCGCCCAAGTGATCCTTCAACGTCAAATACCGACGCTACCTTGGTGCCTTGCTTCCAATACCGGCTCTTCTTCTTCTTCTTCTTCTTCTTCACTTATAACCCCAAACGCCAACACCGATATCATCCATCACCTGACGAACACTACTCCGTCACCACAACATCACATTCCCTCCCTCCCCCCACCTGGCTCGGAAACATACATACACGGCACTCTCGTCGCCAGCTATACACTTCGAACCTCCTACTTCATCCAGCCCGTATGTGTCATCCAGCGCTCCTTGACTCCTCCTACTCTTCTTCTATTCCCATGGATTATCCTCCTCACGTCGACCAAGCCTGCGAGAACCCTCACTCACTTGCTCCCAGATCTAGAGCCACGAGCCAAGCATCTGCAACCGCTGCTCACTTCGCCAACGTTCACCTGAGTGACTCGCCTCGTAGCTTTTACGAGCAAAATCCTTTGAGAGCACCCCAGCCACTACACCCAGCTCGGCGCACCAGCTCCGACGTCCCAGACCCGTCGTGTCTCCCGCGACCACATTCGCAGACCTACTCGCCATTTCCTGACCTATCGCCCGCGATACTGAACGGGCAGTGGCCTGAACCGTCCGAGACGAGACCGCTAGTCAGGGTAGAGCCCGCGCCGTACTATTCGCCTCTCACACGACCATCTACCGTTCCAGCTCAAGCAGAAGCCAGGATGACAAGGTACGTTTTCGACTCCCTCTGGTGTGCCAACACACATGTCCGTCTACTAAACCTATGCCAGCGCCGTGGCTGCCATGCACTTCGATCCTTCCTTCAACATGGCAAACCGGTCAACGTTTGCTTGGCCAGGTAAACTCGATGCTGCCTGAACCCGCTGGCCTGACCTTGCTGACCCTGCTTAGTACTCGAGAATAGCGAGCCGAGCCCTTCATTCCTCGGTCACAACCTCGCTCTGGGGCCGATTTCCGACCCCAGCCTTAGCCCACCCATGACATCGAGATCGGTCACCTCCAGCCCGCCACGAGGATCCATGACGCCTGAGCAGCGCGAGCTGAAGAGACAACGGGACCTCGCTCGCCGCGATTCCAAGACGTCCGCGCGCGCACGACGGGCCGGTAGCAGCTCCTACATGAGCTCGCCACCTCTGTCCATGCCCGACGTTTCCACAGCCATGGGTATGCCCATCTACACCACAGCCCCCGCACCGATCTCTCTTCTAGCCGAGCCGACGACAACAATGCCAAACTCTTCCTACCTCTCCGCCTACAGCCCACCTTTGACCGACCAGACCTATTCCTCCAGCTACCAGTCCATATCCTCCAACTACGGTCTAGGTGTTGACTACACAGCTTCCTTCCAGCCTGCGCCACAATATGCGTGAGTAAACGACTGTATGCAAGTACCACGAAACACGCACTAACACGCTTTCGTTTCAGCACCCGCCCGCCGCCCATGTCGTTAGGCACTTCGCCAGACCCGTCGTTGATGTACGGATTGCCATCCACAATGGCCGCTGGAGGCGCAGCAAGCGACCACAGCCATGTCCGTGTGGTACAGAGCAGGCCCAAGCCTCAATGTTGGGAGCACGGCTGCAACGGCCGCCAGTTCTCGACCTTTAGCAACCTCCTTCGCCACCAACGAGAGAAGTCCGGCCAGGCCAGCAAGGCGTCATGCCCCAACTGCGGTGCCGAGTTCACCAGGACGACAGCACGAAACGGACACCTGCTGCACGACAAGTGCAAGCAGCGCCGCAACACGTAGACGACAAGGAAAGCATCCCGCCCCGAGGAAAGGAATACCACAGCCACGGTGTCTATTCCACATGTACATCACAATCTAGACAGGCGTTTTGCCGAAACCCCACGAGGACCACAACTCGAGATGACGACGAGTATGAGCACGGAACGCAATGATTTACACAGCGGCTCCGTTATGCCCCAGAGTGGGGAAAGCGGCGTGTGCGCGGACTGTCGGGGACAGGCAGGGAGAAACGAGAGACAGGCAGAGAACGACGGGTCACAAGGCAAGGGTGACACGGCTGGCGGCCTAGCCAGAGTGTGCGTGACACACAGGAAAGAGGTCCACCAGCTTGTCCACGGAACATGATCAGCAGAGAAAGAAAAAGCAAAGCGGCAACACACGAAGCGCATGCAGGCAAGCAAAGTTCAGGATGAGGGCTGCAAAAATGGGCGGCCCTGGAGTTGTAAAGAGTACCATCGGTTCATTCGCTTCCGGACATACTTTTTTTTTTGCTGGAATTTCGCGTTTTTGCATCTTCGGTTCGGGGTTCGGTTTCGATTCTACATTCGCTTCTACAACATTCGCTTCTTACAGGCTGAAAGACAGGGGGCAGAGACGGACGGGACAAGAGGAAAGAAGGAGTTCAGACAAGATGCAGACGCACAAACAGGGGCTGAGCAGCGCTGGACCTGGATTGGGACATTGGCGCGTGGGTGGACAGGTACTCACGCGCGCAGGGGGGGGGGGGGGGCGGTGTGCGGCCCTCGTCTTACCTTGCCTCGCCTCGCTGGCGGTGGGACCTGGTTGAATTGGAGAGAACTTTCGATATACCCTTTCGTTTATTTGCGCTGCTGCATTATACACGGCGTGCCCAGCAAATTCACTGCGTTTGTTTCTTTTTTTGCTTTGAGATAACGTTTCCTGAACGCATTCGCAACGTGGCTTGTACTCTGGTCAACGAGAAATGAGTCCCCGAACCAACAGACGGCCCATCTGTCCGTCGCGTGCTCCGCCCGTCGCATTCGCAGCGACCAACAGTCAGGTACCAAGGTAAGTAGTGAGGGAGGGACCAATGTGTCGGTAGGCTCCCTGAGCCATCCTTTCCCAGTTTCCAAGCGGCCGGGCGGGCACAGAGCGCAGTTGGTGCCAACAGCTCGTCCTGTCCGTTGGTGGAGGCGGAGAGAGGGTCACGAAACACGATAGACGCGTGGCGTAGCATGGCAGTTGCTTGATGGGAAAGAGGGGGAGGGAAGAGGTTGGGGGGTCTTTGGAAGGGGGGGCAGCAGGGGGGGGGAGGGGATGATGGACCGACAAGAGAGAACCCGAGTGCGATGTGTGATCGCGACCCAAGCAGACGAGCACGGTGGCTGCAGAAAAAAAGGCCACGACGGACGGCCGGGAAACGAGCTAGTCTGTGATGAGGTAGAGGACAAGACTTTCCATGAGAATGGGCAGAGATGAGCATGCCGAAGGGATAGGGTTGACCCTTGCTGCTCCCTCTGGTTCTGGGATCATGTTGTACTTGATGCTTGCTCGAAAGGCTACTACTGCAAAGAGCATTTGCAGTTTTAGGGAAAAGAGCAGCGTGGTCGTGGGATTGACGGCCGAGCCATGTGGCCTACCTAGGAAAAATTCCCAAATGCAACGACGAATCCGACAGACGACCAAGGCAAGGACCCGCCCGCATCTTTCGTGGAGGTCGCGCCGCTTGTTGAACGGGGGAGGACCAACCCCCTGTTGCATAAGCGCCAGCGCCAAGTGGGAGCTTGTGGTCCACTGACCCCAGGGGGGGTGGCTAGCATCGCCAGCGAAGCCCCCCCGGCCAGAGGGTCTCGAAGAGGGTCGGAAGGGAAAGAACACATTGGCCCCCTTCTTAGCGGGATCGGCCGCATGATGTGATGAGGTTTCATTCCCCCCTCTGCACGTTGTTCATCGGGCACGCAGGTAGTCAGGTAGATAGGGCAGAGCGGTACAGGATCGAAGGATTCCCTTCCCGTGTGCCGCATGCCAAACGACAAGATGAACACGGTTGTTGACAAGGTCGAGGCCTCTGCGGCTCTGTGTCTCCTGCTGTACGATTGATGCATGAGGTCTCATGTTGACACTGCTTCTCTTCGTCACTAGAGCAGCCATTGCGCTCTAGTGGACCAGGGTCAGGGCAGGCCAGACAGCAGAAGGAACTTCGGGCGAGCCAACCCGGACTGTGGGTGGAACGAGCACCCGTAGGGCTGCGTCGGGTCTGTACTCTGTAACGTGGGATCGAGCTTGGACGACGCCTGTCTCTTGGTGGCGGCCAAGCTAGCGACGTGACAGGCCTGAAGGTGGACAGAGCTGCGGGCTAGATGGGGCTCTGGGGCTCCCGGGGGGGGAAAGGGAGGGGGCCACTTTGAGTTGACTAGGCTAGCTTGGCTAGTCACTAAAAATGCCGCCAACGGTAGCTCGTCTCTGTCGGAAGATGGGCGAGTTGGTGCGGACTCCGCTCTCCAAGGACAAGCGCCAAAGGCGGGCGGACCAGCGCCGACGCGCTAGGCAAGCTTTCAGCTAGGTCAGGCCAGAGGCAGCAAGGAGGAAACCGTTGCCGACTCTTTGCAATAACCTCCGAGGGCATCGGTTGTGTGACAAGTAGGCCCGTGTGAACAGCAAGTTCTCGTCGTTGGCTGCCTTTTGGCTGTGCATCGCCTTGCCTCAGGTCTCTGTTCCGTCTCTTCGATGCCTGCCCCCCCTCACGCATGAAATCAATTAATTCAAGAGCCCAAGATTGGAGAGAGTGCGATGGGATCGGCAACCACCTGAGAGTTTGATGGTGCAGGTTGCCAGCCTGGGGAGGTGGTAAAGGGGGGGGGGAAGGGGGTGAGTTGACAACCGACTCCTCTCCGACCCCTCCCCCCTCCCCAAAGACTGCAGTGCTTACACAGCCGCGACGGAAATAGGGACCGCTTACCTACTTGCTGTGGCCCAGGGATGCCTGCTTCGATGAGCTCAGAATCATAACCAGATGTCCCGTAAGAATTGCCAATGTAACGAAGAGTCTTGTCAATGTCAGCACTCAACGTCTCAGTTGGTCACCCTACTTGGGCATACCTACTCTCCTCTTCTGCTTCTTCTTCTTCTTCAGTCTTCATACCGAGCGAATGCAGTGTCAGACGGCGCTATCCAATCATCGCGCCTCGCCGCTTTCAAGATCGCGCTGCGTGAAGTGGACAGGGTCAAGTCAATTCTCAGATGTCATGCAGTTCCAGCTGAAGATCATCGTGGAAACAAAGCCCCTCGATTGCAGTGGTGACCTTCGTGATGAACCGTATCGTTGTGCAGTTCGGCAGGCTGCTGCCGGTTGCCAGACTTGACTACGTAGCGCCGTCATGTGTTGCGACCCGTCCGCCCCGCACAGATTTGCCTCTGTGACCTGAGATCGTCGATACCAGGCTTATCCCGACCTTCAGGTGGAGAGGGTGTACCGCCGGAATAACATGTACACGCCCAGAACGTAACGTCTGTCCCCTTCGGAGACCTTTACAGGAAAGAGGGGGACAAAACGCATGACCGCTGCTGTTTGTGCTGTTGCCTGCTCTGATGTGAGATTGAGATTCCACAACATGGAGCACATGTGCAAATTGTTGTTGGTCGGCCACCTGAGAGTCATTTCATGGGTAGTGTGCGATGCGACCTGGAGCTATTCAAAGGTACCTTGGTCAGCGGGTTTGTCAGAATCACCCAAATGCGTCCCAGCAGGACCACTTCACCGCAGGCCTAGCCCGGCCACCCCTGGTGACCCATCACGGTGGGAACCCCTTTCGACAGGCTCGGGCTACCCGACCTATGGGTGTCGATCTTTTGTCCAGTTGCAGAGCTACCCATCCCACCAGATTCAAGCTTCCCGTTGCGGGAGTCGGTGGACAACCGGCTGGTGGAGACGTGGGTTAATTAGGTAGCTTCGACACCCTTTCATCTTTCTTGTTTGTCCGCCTAACCCCGCCGTCCCATCATCAGATGCAAACGCGGGGATCCAAGCCCGAGTTTGTGCCTCGATGTGGAGTCAAGACTGTATCGCTCCATCGCGGAAATCGACCAATTGAATGCTGGTCACTCTCCCCAACGTGCCTTTTGCCTGTTTCTCGTCATCCCATCTCAAGGCATACAGGGGAGCTTCAAGCCAGTCTCATAGTTTCAAGGTTTGCTAGGTCTGCCATTTTCGTGGTGATCTTCCCACCGTGTTTCAAACGCTCGGGACCGTACAAGTAGTTGTATGTCCGGGTCCTCAGGTATTGGGAGCGATCAACAAGTGGCGAATGCTGCGTCTGTACATGTAGGCGTGGGGGCAAATTGTCACTGCACTTGGAGACGTAGCTCATCATCGCCTTGCACGTCTCCGTGGTATCTCGTAGCAGATAGCATTGAGAAGACGAAATGAGGTGGCCGACCAGCAGTTACCGGGTCTCGCTGTAAAGGCTCGACTGCCATCGCGGGCCAGACCACCGTTTAAGACAGGCGAGCCATCACCCATAGGTACTATTGGGGCGGCAACCCAGTGCATCCAGTGTCCCCAGCACATAGGCTCATCGTGGCGAAATCCCGCGCTTCCCGTCAGGAACCGCTGCGGGGACCTGCGGATGTTCGAGCCCGAAGCATCAGTGTCCATATTGTCCGAGACCCGACGAGAGAAGCAAGAGTAGGCGGGCGAAATGACGAGTAGAGGCAAGGTATGGACGAGATTATCCTTCGCATTTCAAAACTGGACCGGATGACCCCCATGGCTGATCGAGCTTGGCACTTCATGTAAGTAGACATGCAGGACCGATGTCCGGATGCTGTTCCATTCGGTCAAGGATGCAACTCACTCTTGGCTGGTGCTTTGATGCGACAGCTCGAGGTCCGGTTTTTGTGCCCACCCCCCCCCCCCCTTTGTGCGGCCGCAGCACTGGAGGACCCTGACATGGTGCCTATTGGCCGCTTCGCTTCCGGAGAGCGAGCAGGGTGGTATCGACTGGGGGGAACCCTTCGAACAGCCACATGGAAGCTCTGAAGAAGGCCTGTCGCCATTATTGCAAGGCTGCAAGGTTGCGTGGGATGCATCACCTCGCTGGTTGACGGTTGTGATTCGTGAGGCATGGCCCCCCGTGTCTCTCGAAGCGTATGAACGCGGGTGAGAAGTGAACGTTGCGACTTGTCGAACAACCTAGCTGAACTAGCTTGTCCAAGCCTAGTGGGTGTGCAGACAGCCGGCCCAACAGCGGTCGAATTACCCATAGGCGAAAACCCCGGTGCTCTCGCCTTGGCTAATGGACTGCCTGTTGATCGTTGACGTCTGAAGTCTGCGAGATACGACGGTTGTAAGTCGCGACAAGACGTCGGGCGCGACCAGAGTCTCCTCAACCCCAGGTATCCATTTGCAGCTCACCAGTTCCCCCATGCGTGCCCCCTCTGTCGGGGATCTGTGCCCTTGTCTCGATTCTCCCGCCTCCCCGTTCATCTTCGATACACCGGGTCATGATGGCTACATGTTCTCACCTCCATGGTCTCGGTCAGAAGAGCGCGCGTATTCGACGAAACGGCGTCCGCGCGATGAAGTCGGTACCCGAGTCGACGTGGCGTCGGCAGATGGTACGCCAACGCACCCATCAGGGTGGTGGAGGGTGGTCGGGCGCTGCGAGCTGTCTTCTTGGGGTCTCACGAAGCGATGGTGCAGACGCTCTCCGACCCCAGCTACTGAGGGCAGCCCTGGGCTCATAGTGCAGGCAGGTCTCATCAACTTGGCCTGGTCAAGCGCGGCGCTGCATGCCAAGAGATTGTCTTCGTCAGACGATGACATGCCGGTCTTGCCAAGGGGAGACTGCCCGTTGCGTGAAGCCAATGGACGATTCTGGCAGGCGTCTGGGAAACCAAGAGTAGTATCTGTAGGCGAGTGTGGCCGTGGATGGCATCGTAGCAAGGCAGGCTGACATGAGGACGCGTGCCTGCCTGAACGATAGTGATCATGATCATGATGATACCTAATTGCAGAGCTGCACGAATGGAGCTATTGCAAGGATCAGGCACCCCCGGGTCTTCCTGCCTGGGCCTCAAGGGGACTGACGGACGGCTTTCGGGAGAAGGAGATGCCGGGAAAGAGTCGGGGAAAGACAGTGTTGATTGGAAGATACCGGACTGTCGAGCTGAGCCAACCGACGCCACCAATACGCGGCTCACAGGCGCCTGGCGGCAAGCGCGACTATGTGATAGGCTCGACCCCACCTTCTCGCTTCGTAGGCGCCCGCGCTTAGGCACGTCGGTTCCAGGCACAAACAAAGTAAACATGCCTCAACGACGACACACCTTCGCCGTCTGAGATCTGAGATCAGGCACTGAACGACAGCCCCGCGACCGGCAAGACGCACGAAGAGCCATCCGGGCTGCAGTCTCTTGGGTTGGATGGGTGTCCACTGAAGATACGCCTTGGATCTGCCGATGAGCCTCTGACGACCGAGGTCCACGATGGCCATGACCGCGTCAAGATGGGCTGCCCAGAGGCAGAAGCTCTTCATGTCCGTCTTTGATACGGAAATCTCACAGCCCACACCCTACTCGACGCCATCATTACGATCAACCGACTCGGGGCAGCCGTTCGGTGGTCCGCCTGCTGCAGCAGCCCAACCGCATATCAACCTCCAATCCCTGGATTCCACAGACACGCCAGCAGCAGCAGCAGCAGCAGCAGCATCCTCCTCCCCCCTTTCCTCCTCCGCCACCCAAATCACCGATCAAGCCCGCTGGGATCGGGCCTGGCACGCAGTGACATCGCGCGTGCAGCTTCCCCCCTCGGTCGCCGCCGAGGACTCCTTCGGCTCCCTCGCCTCGGAGTCCCAGGACCTCACCAACCCCGACTTCTACGCGAGCCTGCAGGTCGTCCTCCAGCCCTCTCAGCGCGCCCCGCACGCCGCCCACACGGAGGACCTCTTCTCGTGGCACACCCACCAGGTCCGCCACCATTTCGTGCAGCACGTCCTGCCCCTGCTCTCCGCCTGCGCCGGCCACGGCGACGCGACGCAGGTGCTGCTGGGCAGCATCCGCACGCTCGAGGCCGCGCACCGCCAGCACGTCTATGGCGTCTCCCTCATGGCGCGCGGCCTAGACGAGTCCGCCGCCGAGCGCGCCGTCGAAGCGTTCCGCCGCGACCTGCACGCCCTCATCAGCAACTCCATGGCCCCGGCGCTTGTGGACGCGCTACGCCGCGTGCTGAGCCGCCTCATGCGCGTGCTGCTGCGCATGCAGCCCGAGTCGGCGACCTCCTCTGCCAATCCAGCGGCGTCGCCGCATGCAGGTCGCGGCGGCGGCGGCAGGAGCGCCAGCGCCAGCAACCAGACGGATGGCGCCAGACGCGAGCTCCGTCAGCTGGTCGAGGCCTTGCATAAGGTCGGCCTGGCCGGAGAGAAGTTCCAGGTCCTCTTTGCCGAGATGATGGACGCCCTCATGGTCGAGCACATCAAGACGTCCTTTGCCGGGGTGTGGACGCAGCAAACGCAGACGGCGGCGGCGTCAGCGGCACCACTACCGCCACCCAGACCGCCACGATCATCCCTGCGCCGCGCGGGCTCGCTGTCGCCGTGCATCGCCTCCCTGCACGACTGGGTCGAGAACCACTACGCGCGTCTGGCGGTTGAGGTATTTGACCGCCTTGGCGCCGAGGTGGTCGCCTGGAAGCATGTCGAGGAGTGGAAGGAGATTGCGGTTGGGCGCTTGGCGGCTACGCGCATCCACGAGCTCTTTGACATTGTGCTTCACTGGCCCGAGAGCAGAGACGCCCTTGACGATCTGCGCGTGGCCGTGACGACGCCGCAGAGGCGACTGCAGCTCACCGACACCTTCTCGGCCGCGCTGCAGAAACGGCTGCTCCACCCCGGGCGGTCCACGCTAGACATCCTGCAGGTGTACATCTCCATGATCCGCACCTTTCACGCCCTCGATCACTCCAAGGTCCTGTTGGAACGCGTTGTCCACTCCCTTCAGCTGTACCTCTGCCAGAGAGATGACGCCATCCGCATTGTCGTCACGGGCCTCCTGTCCGGGCCCGATGAGGCGGCGGCGGCGGGCGGCGGCGGCATGGGCAGGCTGCTAGAGCTGGCCGCGCTGCTGAACGATCCCGCGCAGCAGCGCCGGCAGACGGCCGATGACGAGGAGCTCGACTGGAACGACATGGACTGGATCCCCGATCCTGTCGACGCCGGCGTCAACTACAAGCGGCCCAAGTCGGAGGACGTTATCGGTACGCTGATCAACGCGCTGGGCTCGCAGGACATATTCATCAAAGAGTTCCAGTCTATCATCGCTGAACGGCTCCTGTCCAAGCAGACTGAGTTTCCTCAGGAGGTCAAGGTGCTCAACCTTCTCAAAAAGAAGTTTGGCGAGAATGCACTGCAAAATTGCGATGTCATGCTCAAGGACATTCAAGACTCGACGAGGGTCGACACGGTCATCACGAGACAGATGCAGATGGCCGAGTGGGAGCAGAAAATGCTGCTCTCATATCACACCAAGATTTTGTCACGTCTGTTCTGGCCCACACTCGACCGCGAGCATTTCCTGCTTCCGCAGCCCGTCATTGAGATGCAAAGCCGCTACGACGCTCGTTACGAAAGCCTCAAGAGCTCGCGCAAGCTCACCTGGCTCAACAACCTCGGCACGGCCACCGTGCACCTGGATTTGGAAGACAGGTCCGTTGATAAAGAATGCAAGACGTATGAGGCGGCCGTCATCTACGCCTTCCAAGATGACGGTTCCTCTACGTCTCCCGGGCAGCGTACAGTCAACCAGCTCGAAGATACACTCCAGATGGATGATGACACGATTCGCCTGGCTCTCGTCTTCTGGGCGTCGCAGCGCGTCCTGCGCGAAGTCGCCCCTGACACGTATGTCGTCCTCGAACGCCTCGAAGAAGACACGGCTCCGGCACCCCGTGACTCGTCCCCAGCGCTCGACGACGACGACATCGCGCCGCCGCACAACACGGTGTCGCCCTCCAAGACCGGCAGGGGCGCCATGGATGCGCAGGAAAAGGAGCGACGTCTAGTCTACTGGCAATTCATCTTTGGCATGCTGACCAACTCGGCGCCCACGATGCCGTTGGGTCAGATGGCTATGATGATGAAGATGCTTATCCCAGACGGGTTCCCCTGGAGCAACGAGGAGTTGCAGGAATTCCTGGCTGAGAAAATGGCCGAGGGTGAGCTCGAGCTTGTAGGCGGAAAGTATCGCTTGCCGAAGAAGTGAAGGATGGATGCATGCTTCTTGACCGGTAGCGCCTCCGAGCATTTGGGATCGTGCGCAGAATTAATTTTCACGAGATCACTTCAAGAGATTCAGGCCTACCCACTACCAGTGAAACTTGGGGTGGCTTGCGGACAAGAGAGAGAGACACGGTCGTGATTGATTACTTCAAGGAGCTATCCACGCATGGGGCGATCAAGTCTTGGCTTCTTGCCGAGCACGGAAACCCTCGCAGACAGGGCGGGCTTTTTTGTATTTTATTTCAAGTCCACACAGGATTACGAGTCACGATGGAATGGGCATGGAAGGGATCGGCTACAGCGGCACGCTTACACCTTGCGAGCTAACATCAGTATCGCTGGCGAATGCCGGAGAATAGTCGAGTCATTGGAGACGAGTGGCAGGCGTGGAACGAAAGACCGCTTGATCTCGATGCGAAGCCACTCATCGCTATTGTCCCGGTGTGGCCGCGTAGAATTTTGAGATTCGTGCTGTTGTGTCGCCACGTTATCCCCTCTGCAACTTGTGACCTGTGGTTACCCCCGCTTGGAGGAAGCTGGAAGCCCAATACTGTGGGCGAGACGCGAAGCCATGAGCCTCTGGGCTTACTCTGCCATCGGTTCACGACCTCACCGTGAGTGGGATGGCCAAACTATATGAGTTCTGGTCATCGATGAGCGAATCGACGGATGTCAGAATTGAAGCGGGCGAAACGGCAGTGCCTTGTCACCAAAGTGGTGCGGCAGCGACCCCGCCCACAGCTGTCCGCCCGGCTGAGGTGGGTGTACGCTTGGGTTGGTTGGAAGCCCAATGTCCGAGCTTGGGGGGGTGTCAGTGTCCCGGTTGTGCGGAAAAAAAGGGCTTGTTGTTGTTATCGTGTCCCTGCTCTTGCCCGAACGACCGTCCTGTTTCGTGCCCTTGCAGAGCGACCAGAGATTGACCGCTGTTTGGATGGCGAGGGTGAGTGGATTCTGCCGGGGGGTTGCGAGTCGCGTGGGCGGTGCTGTAGGAGAAGAGGCGGAGGCGTTGGGCAGTCTTCCTTGACGTATGCTGCCGAGAAGAAGCGTCCACCTTGTGCATCTGATCTGGCTGGTGCTGGCTGCCTGGGTGGTGACGAGATGTGTTTCAGTGGCACGGCAGCGTGGGCGACGTGAAAAGTGAGGATGGGAGAGACAGGCTGAGAGTGAAAAGGCAGTCAGAGAGAGACAGCAGAGCAGCAACAGGGCAGGCATGCCAATATGACAGCATGGCACAGCCCTGCAGCCAACCTCGTTCGGGAGAAAGGCGAATGGTGGTAGATTGAAAGCACAGCGAGCGTGAAACGAGACGTGTCGGGTTGGGAGACGGGGTCAGGCGAGCTGGCGAGCTGGCTTGGGGTGTTTTGAAGGTGGAGGGGCAGAAGCGTCGAGGGGGCACAAATCCGGACACGGCGCGCGGAGCGGGAACAGAGGGGGCTTGGGCGGGGTCAGCTTTCTTAAGTGCTTGCAGTTGGAGGTGGAGACGCACCCTGGGGGTGTTGGCACAAAGAGGGGTATCTTCCAGGCGTCTCACCGGCAGGGGTCAGAAGTCGCGTGGGCGAGAACATGGTCGAGAGAGGTCATCTGGTCTGAGCAGCAAAGAAGAAGTGTCATGGAGTTGCGTCGCTTGGGACCATGTGTTGCTGTCGTGCTCCGCTTCCTGGCTGGCAAGGCAGAAAGGCAGAACAAGATTCGACAAGCTGGACCGGGAACCGAGGATCGATGGAGGCAGAAAGTCATGTTTCTCTTTGTGTTCTGCCGTTGTAAAACCTAGTCTACCATAGCGAGGATCCTGGAATGTGGTTGGAGGCGCATTGTTGAGGGTACGCCCCGTAGACGGTGCCGTCTTGGGCAGAGCGGGCGAAGCATTGTTATCCCAAGACGCATCGGCCCAGTTGCCGTGTGGTGTCGGTCGGTGGCGAGAACAAGATTCGTAGTCGGTGAGGCCAGTGAGTGGCGTGCACGTGTTGGCACCGAGATGTGTCTTGTTGGGATAGACCACGGCTGATATGTCGACGTGTATTATGTGCGTGCTGGAGATCCGTCGTCGAGGTCAGTTGGTCGTGCTGTTTTTGTTTCGCCCAACATGTTTGGCTGCCTGCATGTCCATCCAGCGCCCCCATGCTGACCTACAGAACGAGTATATAGGCACGGCCGGCTAACTCCGCGGTTGGCCTCGCACAGGTGACGAACGGCCAAGGTTTTGCGGATCGCCGAAGAGTGGTCGCAAGACAGATTGTTTTGGTTCCTGGTCTCATGATGAGACCGTCTCGTCGTGTCAGCTGGCTGCGTTCGCGGGCGAGTCAGTCGATTGAAGCATGACGACAAGGCAGGGGTCGCAAGTGGTGAGATGATCGGCCCCAGGGATCGAGAAGGTCGAGGCCAAGAAGCCAATGGTAATCCGAGTCAAGACCCGTATCGAATTGCCGTCCAATCAAGGCGAGGGTCGAGAGGCACCATCATGAGCAGGGGGCGTGGGGTGGCCGCGGGAGTGATTGTAGTAGAGCATGGAAGAGATCGTTCTCGAGTGCGTGCCCATCCATTCCTGCATTCCATGGACGTAGCGGACACGCCCTACTTAGCTTGCGGGCGTGGTGGCGAGGCGTGGTCATGAATGAGAAAGTTGGAAGGCTAGCCAGATGGATGGGAAAGCGCAAAACGCCATCATTCTTAAGTCATCCGCTTGTCCAACTTGGTTGGGTCGGTTGCCGATGCGCTGAAAGGCCGGTGCGAATGGATAAGGTCGGAAAGGAGGGGTATGAATGACCATGCTCCGTCGTCGTGCGCCTGTCGCCGTGATGAACCTTGAACACCGTACTCGACTGGGGTGCTCCTGTCCGCCAGGGTGCCCAGGCAGTCCGTGACTCGTCGTTTCTGCAGTATGAGGGCATTGTGATGATGATGCGTGCTGATTTCCTTGCTCGAGGGAGCAGGAAATAGTCGACGCGCACCTTAAATGATGCCGAGAACGTACGGTCGGGACATGAACGAGGAGATCGCAGGTTGGGTCTCGGATCCGGCGGCAGGCAGAGCCTGTTCCTCTGCTTGGTCTCTAGTGCGGCATGTCGTCTCCGTTGGTCTTTTGCAAACGAATCTTGTCTCCCAAATGACGAGGTCAGTCAGACCTAGTAGGATCGAGCACTGTGAAGTACCTGCAATGTCTCGCTTCCTCGCGCAAAGCGAGCCACCTGAAAAGAGGGGTTGTCGCCGGCTGAGTTTTAGTGGGTTGGACGGCCTCTTGGGGAAGCCTGCACGCCTGCCACCCCCCTCTGTGAACGATAGTCGGGTACGTTCGGTAGGTATCTAGGCACCTAGCTAGGTATTTAGCAGCAAGTGTACCATGATGGCCAGGGGACTGACCACGAACAGGCAGGCAGCACGTCTTTTTGTGTTTTCGGCGGCGAGGCAAGAAATCCCCGTCTGTCCCACGCATGGGCCCTGTCCATGTCCTGTTTGCCGTTATGAGCAAGGAAAGCCCGACGGTGAGTGATTATCCTCCCTGCAGCCAACGGCAAGGAAGGTATGAATGTGAACTCGCCTTCCCCTCGCACCTCAGATAAGGTGAGTGCCGAGTGAGTGATGGGGGAGCAAGTGCCTGCATGCTTGCAGTGAGGTGGCCGATCGGCGGAAACGAGACACTGCTATCGCTGGCAGCGTCGGGTCAGGCTGCTGCTAGCTGCCAGTAGTCCGAGAGATGGACGGAACCATGTCCTTGCTCCGTCTCGACGCCTCTTTCTCAAACTGGACCTCTCGACGTGGGCCTTGGGCCAGTCCATGACTGGACAGTACCTACATGTTTGGCACCATGTCGAACCAGACCATAGTAAACCATGCCATGACCGTCTGGGACAACCACCTCGCCATCGGTGTGTCCAGTGTCCGTCCGTATCCATGTTTCTCTGTCCTTGCCGACGGCCCCCCTCCCCAGCCAATACAAACTTGCTGCGGCCTGCACCTCGACCTGTGACCTCTGGTGACTGACTGACTGACTGTCCGTCCACATGTGGCTATCGACCGCCGGCCGCTTTTTTGCCTCCCTCGTCCCTTCCTTTCAGCAGCGTACAGCGTGCATCGTACAGCGTTCAGAGCCAGGTCCGTCTGTACCTCTGCCTCGGTCTCCTGCCAACGCACGGCTAATACACGCTGGGTGTTGCTGACTGTCACCATTCACCAATACGATATCCACCCGTCCACCCCGTCCCGTCAAACCCTCCTCCCATCCAACCACTCGGTCGTCCCCTGACCAAGCGGGAGGCCTGATTAAGCCCGAGGTGAGGTGATCCATCCTACCTCAGACGGGGTTCTTGTGTCGCGTCCACTGCGGCGGCCGTCCTGCGACGGGATACAAATGCAGAAGGGACCGCTCTCCTGCACTTTCCCACCTGCCAATCGCCCGTTCCTTCTCCCTTGTGCCCATCCGTGCTTGCCTCGCCTCACTCTTGTACTTCCTCCTCCTGTTCCATCCAGGAGGTGCTGCTGCCGCCTTTTACTCCTCATCCCAGTTTCTGTCACGCTGGTTGATCTCACTGCTCCTCGTCAGTGATTTTACCTCACCGTCGGTGCTTGGTGCTTCCGTCAGCTTCTGCTCATTCTCCGCTCATCTATCTAATCGCCCCTGCCTGTCTGCCGACTACTACTCAACCCGATATCCACGGGCTCAACACCCACGCCTACCTACCTTATTCAAGGCTGCTCAAGCAAGACGCAAAGCCATCGTCTCAGCGAGCGGCACCCTTCGAAACCAGCGCTTCTGTTACGATTGAACGACGAATCGGCTGACAGCTGCTCACCTGTATCGTTTCGACTTCGGGTCTCCAGGCCGTGTAGCTCAACTTCATCCCTTCAGGCGACGACGTCCCAGTCGGAACTGACCCCAGTCGGAACTGGCCGATCCTGCCTGGGTGCACGCTCAGCTGACAAAATCATCGAAAGAGGGGAAAGTGGGCAAGGGAGCTGGACTTGAGGTGGACAAACGAAAGGAAAATA